GCTGGCTCAGATACACAGAGGAAAGGTCAGCCTGGCTCAGAGGGGCACAAATGGAGCAGGCGGCTAGTGAAGGGAAGACGGCAGGTCAGTGGCCTCTGTGAAATGAGTTGGCAGGTCTCAGTACACAGATCTGCTGAGCATGGTATAAGAACCCATATAGAATGGAATACAATAGCCAAGTAAAGCATCAGGTGGCACCATTCCTGGCAGTCGCTGCTCTTTCCAGGTGGATGGGTTTTATTTTTGCTTAAACCTGGGTCGTCCCCCCCCAAACCTCCTACCTGCACAGCTTTCAGTGCAGAATCAGGACCTGCATAGCTCTGTGCCTCAGTTTCCCCATCTGCAAAATGAAAATAATATGCCACTTAATTATCTTCCGAGGCGTTGTGGGGCGTAAGTCATTTCTGTTTGTGCAGCCCAACAGAAAGGCAAAGAAATAATAAAAGAAGAAGGAGCGAAGCTCTCAGCACGAGGAAGAGCCTGATCCTGCATATTTTGCCTACTCAAAACACCCTATGGAGTGGAGCAATACAGAAATGCAACAAGTATCGGTTTAATCTGGGGCTGTTCCATGCAGTATTGTATTCTATTTCAAGTCTTTCTGGATTGTCTATTAATGATGTTTTCTGTCACGGTCCAGTCCTGCAAACGGAGGTGAGACAGCTTCCAGGACCAGCCCCTTAATGGGGACAGAGGCTGACCTGGGGTAGCAAGTTGACTACCAAAGTGCCCATGGCCCATGGAAATCCACAGGAAGCTTTTCATTGGCTTCCCTGTGCTTTGGATCAGCGCTTCAGTGAATCGGCCTGTACTGTTCAGAAGAATTGCATTCAAGTCGAACACATCAGGAATCTGCATCAACATACCGCGCCCCCCGTAAGGCGCCTTCCGATACAATTTTACACACATGATTAATATAATGGTTTCAAATCTCACCACTTTTATTGCCCTTTATTGCACTTGTTTGATGCATGTTAGAGAAAGGTTCCTTTAGACCCACGAGCAGATCAGGGTCCAGTGTCCAGTCCTATCTCATTGCAGATATAACCTCTGCATTACAAAGCAAAACAAAGTATTCAACACTAGCTATTTTGTTCAGTGTCTTCATCTTCTCAAATGTATACAGAATTTTCCCAGAACAGGTGAAAGACACAGATACATCAAAGGGAGACAACAAGACATTTTTAGCAGGTCCAACTGAACCTATATTTCCAGCTTGCTGGGCAAAGCATATTCTCTGGAGAGAAGAGGGTCTGGCAGTTCATAGCGTCAAATGTCACTCTCGATGCTTTTTTCTGGCACTGCACGTGATCACATTTAAAAAACAAAACCAGATTAGCACCAGTAGACAACTGATCAACTCTTGCATTTATTAGGAATCCAAATATTGATCATGCCATATGCTGATCCTGCAATCTGACCCACAGACCAGAGCACCTGTGAAGAATCTTGATGTCTGGACTAATGTAACCCTAATTTATGCCCCCTCACCTGCTACGCGAGCAGATCTGATTGCACAAGCAGCCCCTCCAGCAGATGAACCCATGCTTGCCTTTGGAAAAAGCCTTCTGGTTTTTTTATTCCCCAGATTATGAACCCGTTACACATTTCTTCGCTTTGTTAAAAGCTGACAATGTTCTGCAGTGTGGATCCTGCAGTGGATTCACTCCAGGCTAACATACTGTAACTGAGAGCAGGTTGTGGCCCTTAGTGTCTGGCCCATTTCTATAACACCAGATATTTCACTTACATTTGTCAAATAAGGGGGGAATTTTCAAAAGCTTTCTGCATTGGCCTAACCCTGCTCCCTTTGAAATCAATGGGAGTTTTGCCACTGGCTTGAATGGAGAGTGGAGTTAGGGCAATCAAAACTGAGTGCATTTGAAAATCCTACCCTATATATCTAATGACGAGCCTGCCCCATTGTTATGTGGTCACCTAATGACTGACCCTACTGCAGTGCACATGAGGATGGTGGAATGGTTCCTGTGGGAGCCTCTTCAGGCGTAAGTGGCTTTCAGATCCCAGCTTTAACTGTTGCATTTAACATAGTTATTGGCTTTTAATTTCCCTGGTTTAAGAGAAAAAAGAAAATATTTGAAAGCCTCTTGAGTAATAAAATCTCATGCTTCAGAGCTGCTGCTGATCACTGATAGGGTCAGGAAGGACACTTCTCTCCAGATCCATCACTGAACATATGATATTATGGGAGGGAAGGGTGCTTCCTTTATTGGATTTAGGGTACTCATAGACCTATGGCTTGCCATAGTGTGGTATGTTGCCCTTTGCTTTGAACAGGTCAGCTTGCCATGGAACTAGCATGTCAGGCGTTCCAGGATGGATGCAATTTAGAAGGCTGATCAAGCTTTTCCCTGGCTGCTATCCATGATAAACAGCAAAGGGATGAAAAGTTAAGGTGGCTTAGAAGGCTGGCGAGGGTTGTCGAGCTGTGCTTATCTGCAGTGAACTTTCCCGAAAGCTCTGCAGTAGGCACAGAAAGGTGCTACCTATGATACCTGCAAAGGTCTCGTGGGCTCATATGTCTCGTTTTCCTCCTATAGATTTCCCTAGAGATACTGATCCCCACCTCTCGCCAGGCCATGATGGGCATTCCGCAGAGAAATACAGTTTAATTTACCTGTATACGATTCTCTTGTCCCCCCCCTTGCATGAAATCTCATTATTTCTGACGAGATTCCAGGATGTGACGTCACAAATACCGGAGGCTGCATTGCAGCCTGGGTAATCCATGGTATTCGTGATGTCGCCAAAAGATGCATTCTGGAATCACTTCAGAGAAGCAGGAAGTACTGCGAGGCTTTCCAAGAGGGCTAGAAAGAATTTGTAAAGGGTTAGTTCTTATTATGAATTTGTCCTGCAGTAGCGCTTAGAAGGCAGGGCCCTGCTGTGCTGGGCACCATTTCTCTGCTGAATGCCTCCCACAGCAGCTTGATAAATAATCACACTTACAGAATGCACTTCATCAGTAGATCTCAAGGCATGTTACAAAGATGCGTCACTATCATAACCCTCAGATGGGGAAAATGAGGCATGCCGCATCTGAGCGACTTGCCCAAGCTCACCCAGTGAATCAGTGGCAGAGAGAGGACTGACACCAGGGCTCTGTTGCCCTATTCACGTACGTATGCTGCATACCTTCAGGGCGAGGGCATAAGGGATCTAAATCGCTGCTTAGCTCAGGTTTCATGCTTGATTTGCAGTTCACCTTTATGCACCACTATTAAATTACTCCTTTCCATTTCATACTCACTATTCAACCTCCATTAACCCCCCTTTCACCTGACCAGACATCAATTCCAAGGAGTCTAGTACAGCTGGATCCACCACCTCTGGCTCCTGCCCAGCCAGGATGCCCAAGCTACTCCAGGGCTGGCAGCTCTAAAGCATAGCAATGTTGAGCTGTTAGCTAGAGATTCTCATTAAACCAAGTTAAAACCCTGCACGGGGCCCAGCCTACACTCTGGCCTCAGAGAGGCACATCTCCCCTCTAACACTGTCGCCCTTTGCTCTCATTCCACCTCCCCCCACATCGCTTCTGCTCCCTTCTCCCCTGAACCAGCCACATGTTTCTCCCCACCACACACTGCTGAGCAGCCTCACTCTCTGCACCACAGATAGTCCTTCCCCCTGGGTGACTGGTCCCTGAGGGCTGCTCCTGTTTCCTCTCCTCTTGCGGGGCAGTGGCTCCTAGGAGAGGCAGCATGCTAAATATTGTGCTGTACTAACTTCATCTGGTTCTTTACAGGTGGACTGATAGCACTGTTGGTTCTGCCTTGTTTCCAGCCTCTCTAGTTGCTTCCTCGCACTGAGCCTGACACCTGCAGAACAGCTGGAAACCAGCGAGCCCGTGACCAGGGAGCTGTCCGCAAAGCAGCAGCAAGAGCTCTGCACCACCGCCCTGGACTCTGGAGCTCAAACACCCCTGGGGCCCGATCCTGTGAGGTGTGCTCAGACGCACAGTTCTTCACCCGAGCAATGCCCCTGATATCAGTGGGATTCCTGCGGGGGGCAAAGGCCACTCGCGCCGATGAGGGCCGTGGGATTGGGCCTGCAGGCTGGGTCTAGCGCCGAGCTGGAGCATGTGATGTGCTTTCTACACCAGCGGACTGCCTGCATTTTGAATGTGGGTAGAGGCAGGACCTCCCCTGGCCACAGAGTCAAGTTTAGAACTTGTGCAAACACAGTTTCTGTACCCAGGTTACCAGCAGCAGCTCTGATCGTTTACACTGGAAGAAGTTTAATAATTGATTAATTTCCTTCTCACTCTTCCTACTGCTCGCTTATTTTCCACACCTCCAGGGGGTTGGACTGGGTCCCTTTGTTCCAGCACTGACCATCTGCTGAGTACTAAGATGCAACTTACTAAATACATCACTAAATAGCCACTGCCTCCCATGCTGACCCATATCATCCTATTGTTTCCTTGTGCCCCCTTGTCTGCCTGCCTGTCTGTCTCCACCTGTTGTCTTTTGTCTTATATTTAGATTGGAAGCTCCTTGGGGCAGGGACTGTCTTTGTTGGTGTTTGTACAGCACCTGGGCCATGACTGTGGCTCCTTGACGCTGCCACAGTGCACATAAATACATTAATTATCCTAATTGTTATTAACAGAAGTGCTTTAGACATACAGTAATTTCTCTTGTCTATACAGCAAAGGGACAAAAGTGCCCAGATTCCTTAATTATTTCTCACTCAGTTCTTTGGGCCAGAACCTCAGTGGGGGAAAACAGGCATCGCCCCATATGATTTCAGTGGTACCGGGCTGATTTAAGCCAGCTGAGGATCTGAGCCGGTGTGGGGCGGGGAGGTTTGACTACACTGAAGTCATGGGGTATGAGTGCAACTTGAGTTGCAATCTTTTAATCTAGCCTGGGTAATGACTTGCTGAGTTAGTCTATACTGCCGTGGCTTTGCTGCTCTCGCACTGGAGCTAGCTAGCTCAAATCTGTCTAGTCGAGCTGCGACCAACCCTACTGCACTATAGATATACCTGGGGAGTGTGTAGGCCAAAGAAACCAAAGGATTAATGATACCATGAAAAATACATGTGAACAAGTACAAATCATTGCAAGAAAAGGCAACGCCAAGCCCACATTGCAACTGTTTGCAGTGTCCAGGTAAGAGCTTAAGCTGGCAGGTAAGAGCCTTAAGAGCTTAAGCAGGACTTACGTGAGGTACCTTCCCTCTGCAGGGCATGCATTTCACCCAGCCAGTCCTCCAAAGCAGCCGGAAACAGCTAAGATTTCCCAAGGGTCTGAGAACCTATTTGTAAAAACGATTATTGACCCTTTTTGCTAATATTGAAAATTCTTGGACAAGTTCCTAACAGCTCTCACAGATTCCCAGGCTGTCACACTGTGACCAGCCAAGCTGCCCTCCTGCAAGGTAGAAAACTTCCCTGAAATAATTTCCCAGCCAGTATCCATTGCCCATAACGCAGCATGCCCTCCCCTTTGCACAAACTCTTTGCTTGACGGAACAAAACAATCCGGGAGGCGGTATGCAGTCCAGCCTTCATGCATGCAGCCCCTTGAAACAGCGATCTTTACAAATACAAGCTAGGTTGTGCGGGTAATTTCTGTAATGCTGACGAGTGGAAGTTTTGTCTTTCAAAGCGAGAGAGTGGGCTTCTCCTGGACAGTGTCCTACCAACACAGACTAAGCAAAAACCAAAATAAAATGACAATTACCTGGCACAGGGCCCGATCCTGATTCACTTAGTGCTGAGCACACATAACTCTGGTGGCTGGTGAACAGCACCTCCCAGGATCAGGCCCAGCATTAGAATACTTTGTTCTGTGCATCAAGAAACAGCTCAGCAGTTATGGATGAGAGAGGCTGCTAGGCTAAATCCTGGTCCCTTTGAAATCAATAGCAAAACTCCCATTGACTTCACAAGCACCAGGATGGTCAGGGCTGGTTACATTTAATTAGTCTGGCTATTGCATTCTGCATTCTCATTAGAAACCAATGAGATGAACAGGAAGTGATGTGCACCGTGCCGTCTTCTTGGTGCACTGTTACCTCTGATTTGCTTCGGAAGCCCAAACATCTGGACAAGGGGAGCAAAGTATAATCAGCGGGGTCAGGCAGTGGGTCTCTCTCCTTTTCCACCACATCTTGGGGACTGGTGTAGGCTTGACTTGTTTTCAAGTATAAATGTTCAGAAATAAATACGCAATATACATTCATTGAGGGAAACCCACTTTTAACTCTCCGTGTGCTGCATGTTCATTTGGGTGAGGGTCTTACATCCGGAACAAGGGCCCTTTCTCTGGCATGGAAGGACTGGAACTTGTAGCTGGGGAGAATAAAGGCTGATTAGGGCTAGGACTTGAATTCATCCCAGTAGGAATATAATATAAACTCTCCATGTAGTTGCAGTCGGTGGCTTGAGTAGCTGGTGGAGCTTCGCCTTTTGGACTAGGGCTGAAGGTTTCAGTTACATTTGTATTTTCTTGACCGGGCTGTTGATTTGGCAGATCGGGATGGACGGATGGCATAGCCACAGGAGGAGGAGGAAACCCTGGGAATCCTGGATATGGTATGTAGGGAGGTCCGTAAACCCCTGGATTCATGACCAATGGGTTGAAAGGAGATGGGTAAAGCCTACTATGTGATGCCAAGGGGACTGGGGGTATCAACACTTCAAGGTACTGGCCTGTCTCTGGGTCATAGAGCATTTTCAGCTGCGGCTGTCTGGGAGGTTCCATGTAGTAGCACTTCCCGCTGTCTGGATCAATGAGCATTTTCCTGTGAGCCTGGGGCTGGGGAGCAAAAGACCTGGTGGGGCTAGGGGCACTTCTACTGCCTGGTGAAACACCGTTGTTCCTCCTCAAGAAATTGGGTGAGTCGTTGACTCTGTGATGGGGCTGAACATGGCTTGGCTGGTCATTCACAGAGTGGTCTGCGGCTGCCTTGCCCTCTGGCGCTTTCAACTGTGGAGACTCATTGCTTATTGTGCTCACGGGTGCTTCCCCACCTGGCTGGTTGAACACATTGGAACTGACCAAAGTGTGGTCTGGATGGGAGGGCACCAAGGGCTTAGGAGCTGCTTCGGGTTTCTGGGCTTTCACGGGAATTGTTAAATAGTTGGCATTCTCAGCATGGGTGGCTGTGAAATATTGCTCGTTTCCTGCCTGCTGTCTGTTCAAGTGATCCCAATTCTCCCTCTGATCTTGGAGCTTTCCAGCTGGGGGTGATGGTGCAGCAGAAGGAACTCCTGGTAGTCTGGTTTCTTCACTGTATTCCTTTGATCTCAAGGAGGCATTGGAATTGGCACACTCTGGAGACATGCGGGTTGCTGGCACAAACACCTGGCTATCCAACGGCCTGGGGGCATCAAACATTTTATTCTGGGCCTTCTGCTGATATGAACTGTTAACAGACTGATTGTTTGCTGGTGTGTTTGTGTGGGATGTTTGGGTACTTGTCACTGTTGGCTTTATGGGCTGTAGATGTCTGTAGCCTTCCTTGGTCCGTTCAGAGACATTGTTTTCTTCTTTTGGACTGACAGAAAAGTCTTGACTGTCACAAGGTGTCAATGAGATGATCTCGGTGGATAAATCCTTCTGAAATGGCCACTCAGGCTCCTTGTGGGCGTGAGCCTCCTGAAAATGACCTGGCCTGGCGGTGCTGCGAGTGATGTCAGTGTGGTTCTTGGTGTCCTTAGGAGAGGCTGAAGATGGTAACAGAACAGCTTTGCTTTTTTCTAGGGAGTTGCAATTAGCTTGTGTCGTAGCTCTTCCATCCGAAGCTGAGTAAGTTGGAGCAGGGAAGGGGTCAGCTTGTGTTCTGTGTGGATGCTTGGAAAGAGAACTGTTGACTTTAATATGAAGCTGGGATTCCATCTGAGGTGCTTTCCTCGTGGCTTTGGAACATGGGGTTACATTTAGCTCACTCCTCTCGTAACACACTGGTTTATTTTCAGACTTTAGCTGGGGTTCTTCATTCTCAACTACAACCTTCTTCTTGGACTGAATTTGAGTGATGTGGATTGGAGATTCACCCACTGCAGTGCATTTGTTTTCGGTAAGACTGACAGGTTCATCCACGTGGGGCTTAGTGATGGGGTTTAAAGCGGCACTGTGTTGCCGGTCACTCGCTCTCTGATCTGGTATGGAAAGCGCTGACACATCTAAGTTCAACTGCTGCTCCCGGTTTTTTCCATGTGAATGGGTCTTCGTTTGCACATCATCTTTGCGACACACTGAGGTGCAGTGTATAAACAGAGGGGAAGTTGCAGTGGACTCCTTTGTTGATAGGCTTATGCTATTCCCACTGTTGGTTTCTTGGTCTATATTGAAGCTGTCTGAAGATTTAAAGCACAAGCTATAGGTGTTCTTAACTAACTTTCTGACGTCCCTGGGCTGATGTATTCGCCCCCTCCCTTTACTCTCTGTCTTCTTGGCCTCTTGAGCACGCAATGCTTCAGGGGGGCTGCTTTTCCCATCGCTGCGTGATCTGCAGGAAGTGGGCAAAATGAGAGAGGAATACTTGTTGCTCTGCACTGCTGCTGGCCTCTTCTCCTCGGCACCTCCCTCCGGAGTCAGCTGCCTGGAGACATTCAGCATCTTCTGCTGCTGCTCGGGTTTGCTCTGTGGGATCAGTTTCATCTCCTGCGTTGTGGACGTGAAGATGTTCCTGGCTGGATCCCTGGGCACCACCACACTTTTTGGCTTGAAGGGGACCTTCTCCTCTTTCCATGACGTGTGCTTGTTCTTGCTGATTGCTCGCTGCTTCAAACTGGGCCATGGCTTTTGTGCTTTGGAAAACGTCGGGGCGACACCCAAGCCTTTCACCTCAGCCTGCTTGGATTCAAACAGGGCACGAGCTCTCCAGTATTCTTTCCTCTCTCTGGCAACCTGCTTCCTGCAGTCGCCTGAATCCCTGTTCACGCCATCTGCCAAGATGGGGAGTGGCTTGGACTGGGTGGCTTCTTGAGACTTCAGTCTTTCATTCAGCTCGTTGAACGTCTTTTTCAGCTTGCAGACATTTTCCCTTTGCTGCTCGTTCAGCACTACCCCTTTGGTAGGCCGCATGGCATCAGTGCTTTCTTGGCTCATTGACTCAGACCTTTCGCTCATTGAATGACTCTGCAGATCTTCAGCTGAACAGCTGCAGTCGGACTTGGACAGAGAACTTGACTTCCCTTCCGTGAAATCCCCCACGAGGTCTGTACTTACGGAGGATGGTACAGAAGAGGTCGAGCTGCCTTGCATCGATTTCTGCTCCATTCTGATCCTCTGCTCGTACTGCATTTTCTTGGCCAGCACATTTTTCACCAGGCAGGAGGCCATCCTGGTTTTGCTGTACGAGTCGTCTAATGACGCTGTTCTCAGAAACTGTTTGTAGTTTATCCTGAATTCATTGCTGATGGTCCTGCCCTTTGGGCAGGGGTCGTTCCTGGGGGCTGCAAAGGGCTGCTGGGCAGCGCAGTCCCCTGCTCTGAGGAAATTCATCTCATTCCTGTCTCTCTGCTTGAGCTGGATCTGCCGCTTGGGCACGGTCCTCTTTTTGGAGTGGCCCTTTTTGCTGTCGGCACTTTCCAGCACCACATCAAGACACTCGAACGGGTCCTTCCCGAATGAGTAACTGGGCGGATCTTTTTCTGGGACTTGGCTGGCAGCTGGGAATTGTCTGCTGCCCTTTGCCTGGCTGACCACCTCTGCTTTTCTCAGCTCATTACACGTTGACCACCTGTTCATTCCATTACTGTCTTCTGACAAGGAATTGGACAAGCTAGACGATGTCCTGTTACTAGAACTGTACATATGTAGGGAACCACCGTGAGGGCACGAGAGGCTCCGGAACGACAGAGCAGTGAGCTTCTGAACTTCATTATCAGCCTCTTCGGAGTCGCTCCCAGCACTGGAGTTGTCAGCGCAATACTGGGGGCAGGGGGCCTTGCTAATCACAGGAGCTCTGCTGCCCTTCGTATTGCGCTCTTTGAGGAACATCTCCCTGGGTTTCGGTGCATTGAATCGTAAAGGCGGATCCAAATATTTAGACCCACTGTCTCCAGGCTGCAGCTCTCTTGTGGCTAGCCCCATCCTGCTGCTGTACCCTGGAGCAGAGCTATTCTTAGCAGGGCCCGTGATTGACATCTGAACCTGTTGCTTCTCCTTGGCACTGAGGTAGCCTCTGTATCTGCAAACTTGATTGCTTGCTGCACACTCCCTGCCTGCCTGGGGGCTAAATGTCCTCTCAGCTGTGGCTGTTAAACTCCCCCCTGAAGCCTGGCTTCTATTTAAAGCTGAATGAACTACGGCCATAGAGGCAGCAGCACAAATATCACCAGCACCTTTGCTGTTTTTATCAGGCAGCTCCCATGTGACTTTGTCAAAATCACTTGGTGTCCCATGTAGTTGCTCAGCTGGGTCCTCAGAAGTGCCCCTCCAAAAACCTTTCAGGCCAGCCAGGCTCTGTTCAGAAAGGCTCACCGGTACAGTTTTGTTCTTGCGATGCAGATCGCTTTCATCAGCTGGGTCACCATCAGGCGGCTGGGTTAACAGAGTGTCTCCTTCATCTTCCAGAGATTCCACGCAGTCCTTAAAACTCTCAGCCCCCTCTGAGCACAGAGCAGTGTGGTAAGAAGAAACAGAGGAGTCCGATGTGTCCTTTAGGGAGTCCCCTTGGGACTGGCTAGGTGTGTGGCTGTTCTTTTCTGAAGCAGCTTCTTTGCATTCAGAGTCACTGAAGATCCCCTCCCCACTTAATCCATCAGGCTCAGGGGGCTGCCCTGGCCTAGAGAACTGGACAGTATTTCTTTTCACTGCGGGGATCATTTTTTATTCCCTGCAGCACATGCTAGGTTCAGAGGGGTCCATTTGAAACAATGCAACTCAGGCTCCACTTTATATTTGGTGGAGCTGGTGCTATTTCCCCTGGGACTTGAGAACCTGATCTTCTCCGGAGGCTCGTTTTCCATCCCCGCTGTTTGATACGGTCATAATAAAGAGCAAAACCCTGATCACATGCCCATTATAGGTTGCCAGCCTAGGAAAGGAGAAACAAACAGATATCATATGCTAGCAGCAAGACCGACAATAACTGGCCAGAGCCAAGGTATCAGTGATTTATTTTTGTTTTCAAGCAACGCAACTGAATGAAAAGTTCAGCTCGACCGTACGTGTTCAGGAAGCTGTTCCGAAATGCAGCCAGCTATAAACTATGCTCTGAGAAACAGCTGTGAGATGCAGCCCTAGCAAAATACCAGCATGGTTCTCATGCACTGACTGCTCAGCTGCGAGGTACTGGGGGAGGCAGCACCCTTTCCATAATCTAACAAGTCTCTGCCTAGATGGCCCCTTTAATGTGCGGCGCTTTAGTGGCCGCCCTCCCAAAAACGGCCAGGATGCTGAGAACAATACTAAACATCCATGAATAAATCAGAGATAAAGATCATAGTATCATAGAAATGCAGGTCTTGACGGGACTTTGAGAGGTCGTCTAGTCCAGCCCTCCCCCCTTCCCCCCCCCCCCCCCGCACTGAGGCAGGACCAAGTAAAGTTAGACTATCCTTGACAGATGTTTGTCCATCCTGTTCTGAAAAACCTCCAGTGATGGGGATTCACAACCTTCCTTGGAAGCCTGTTCCAGAGCTTAACTAGCCTTCTGGTTAGTTTTTCCTAATATCTAATCTAAATCTCCCCTGCTGCAGATCAAGCCCATTACTTCTTGTCCTACCTTCAGTGGACATGGAGAACCATTGATCACCGTCCTTTTTATAACAGCCCGTAGCATATTTGAAGACTGTTATCTGGTTCCCCCGTCAGTCGTCTTTTCTCAGGACTGAACATGCCCAGGTTTTTTATGTTACAAACAAGCATTCACAAAAAAGTTCCCTTTATTATGAGTATTGGATACTCAGGTCCAAGGGGTTTGGATGCCCGATTCCCATTAAAATTAACAGGAACCAGGCATCTCTCAACCCCCCTAGACTGTTCTGAAAGTCTTAGCCTCAAAATTCATTCTGTAACAACACAAGCCCCTTAAAGCTGGATCATTGCCAGCTGTACTTTTCAAGTAAATTATTAAAATGTTTTATTAGTGAAAAAATCTGAGCCCTTTGGGGCAGCTCTTGTGCCGTGTAATATCACTGCAGGGTGAAATTTTCCAAAGCACCTAAGATTTTAAAGCCAGAAGGGATCGTTGTGATCGCCTAGTCTGACCTCCTGCATAACACAGGCCATAGAACTTCCCTGAATTAATTCCCGTTTCAAATCCAGTAGCTGTGGCAGATCTAGAGCATATTTTGATGTATTGAGGGCTGTACTGGAATTTCACGCTATCACTTTAAGACTGTGGGGGGCTTTTTAGTCCTGCTGGCAGGCTAGGGGGCTCGGTAAGGAAGCCTCAAAGTGTACGATCAGAGTCAGTCTGAAAAGGTTGAGTTTAAAGAAAGGTGAGGTGAGTTGTGCCTCTCTCTGCCTTACAGAGCAGCCTGTTTTCTCTCTCTTGGTTTTTGGGATCAAGTGTGTACTCATTCTGAATTTTAAGACAGAAAGTAGTGGTATGTTGCAAGCTTCCAGCAAGAGTATGCATATTTTTTATCTAACTTCGCAGTATGCGTGCCGTGAACATAACACACAGCTTTTAGAGAAACATTCTTGATTGAAAGATTTCTAGTGATGGAGAATCCACCACAACCCTCTCCAGAGGATTTAGGCACCTAGGTGCAGATTTTAAAGGGGTTTAGGTGCCTACCTCCCATTGAGAATTAAGGGCCTAAAAGCCTTTGAGGATCTGGCTGTTAGGTGCCAAAGTGCTATTGACTTTTAATGAGATTTAGGCCTTGAAGTGCACAAGGTGCTTTTGAAAAAACCTGAGTATAATTATAATACTAATGATGGTTAATCACAGATAAGCACTTTCATTAATCAACAGGCTGAGTTTCATTTTTGCCTTTCAAAAGAATACCCAGTAGGGGGAAAGACCCTCTCACAAGCAAGCAGTGCCATTCGCTGAGCTTTTCTCATTTTCATCCAGCAAGTTGATTTTACTGAGTATCAGCACCTTCATAGGCATGTCCTCCTAATGCTAATCTGTAGCCCTAGGGTTCCCAAGTGCATATTTATTTTGCAACTATCATTGTGGGATTGCACTCAAAACTGCACAGACAGTGAAGAAAGCAATTTCAGTGGAACGATTGTTATTGATTAATAAGAATGTATTGATACATCTCAGTGTTACAGAGATCTGGCCTCGGCCTGCCAAACCTTACTCGGGTAAGTAGTGGTTGCTCATGCAGGCAGGCCCTTTGGAGTGAATGGATTGTGTGTAAGGATTACTCATCTGAGGAGGGATTTTTTAGGATCAAGCCAGAGGCAGGATTTACAGAGGCAAGTAGAAACAGGCCCTGTGCTGGGAATGTGACAGATCCCTTTACAAACAGCAGTTCAGAACCAGCTTCTCAGGGAGGGCCTGGATGGCGTTTTAAAATTACAGATGCTTGGCAAACTGGCCCGCCAGGACCACTGCTCTGTCTCTAGAGAGACAGAACGCAGCTATCGATTGTACATGGAGGGAATGTTTCATTTGGAAAGGAGATATTGACTTAACACCTCTGGATTAGCTCATACCCATGACCTCCCCCGACTGCTCAGGCCCAGACCCTTCCTGGCCCTACAGGGTCTGCATGGAGGGCAGGGTCCAAGGAGATCCTGAGTGAGGGCCAGGCAGAATTACAGTCCCCGAGCGCAGGCCAGAGCCCAAAGGGGTGGAGACACCTTGAGAAGAGGCAGCACCAGGGCTCCATCTCCCATCCCCCACTATTTTGTGTCGAGTGGATACACTGGCTGTGTGCAGGGGCATTCTTCTTACTTGAGGCAAAATGCCTCTCACTCAGGGCTTAGAAAAAACAACAATTATTTTTCATGGGAAATGTTGAAAATTTTTCATTAAAATGGGTTTTTTTTAAACCAGTGAAAGTTTTGTTGGGTTTCCAACAAAAAACGGAAACCCCCTCCTCCCCCAAATGTGTGGTTTTCGATACACAATTTTCAGTAAAACATGTTCAGTTTTCAAAAACAAGAATGAGACAATCTCTACCAAAGCCCACAATACTTTCTGCTGATATTTTTTCAATTTCCGGGTTTCTCAATGAAAAACTGGCCAATTTTGAGCAAAATAATTTTTTTTAATGAAAAAATGTTTTAATGAAACAATATCCAGCTGCTCCAAGGGGGCAGTGACTGTCCCTTGCTGTGGATTTTGCTTACAAGCCACATCAAACCCTCCATTATTCTGTGTTGCTTCCACTGAAGGCCGGGGGATAGTTTGCCATTGATTTCAAGGGGAGCAGGAGTAGGGCCATTAGTTCTGTAGTCAGGAAAAACTCTCATTGTTTGCAATGGGAACAGGATCGGGCCCTAGGAGAGGAGCATGGGATCTGGCCCTTAGATAGTTCAGAACAGGATAAAAGTTGGACTCAAAGCCTCAATCTGAACCCTACTGGACGTTGAGGTCATTTGGATCCAGATCCAGGGCTGAACCCTGCAGTTCAAACCCATCTCTAAACCGGAGGGTCACTTTGAGTTGTATTTAGTTCCCTTCTCTAAGAGATGAAGGATAACAGAGCAGCTGCCTTTTTGCAGCTCAGGGCACCCTTGGCAATATTTATAAATACAAGTATTATCACTACAGATCCTTTGGTTTTCTCTCGCTCCCCCAACCAGTAATGGCCTGACAAAAAGCAGGCACTGGGACTCCCCTCCACCCCACCAAAAGAAGCCAGGCAATACATATGTTTTGCAGCATGCAAGGGCAACAGATGTAGATGCTTTTGGACCAAGTTCTCAAGTTGAGGGCCCTTGCAGACAACACCCTGCTAGGACCCCCCTCTTTTTTTATATGTGGGAGTCTCCGGCTTATTTTGCCTAGGCACTGACAGAAGGAAATCCACAGTTAAAATCAGTTGCACCAGGATCATTTATTTAATGTGGCTTTTCTGCATCGCTCATTTCAGAGATGCCTTTCTCCCCTCGCCCCTCCCCCCGTCCTCTGAAGACAAAACTCTATTCACAAGTGACTGCTAAATTAAGAAGGTTAAAATTACCTTTGGAAGTACTCAGGGTACTGTGGCAAGTAACGTGTGTTCTTGTGAGCATTTCAGTGTCCAAATGCCAAAGGCTTTACCCAGCTCCCCGAACATCAGTACCATAGTGAAATAAAGTTGAGACTGTTAAGAGTACAGCTGACACTGACTTAGACAGTCATGTCACAGCGGAGGGATCCAACCACACCATTCCCAAAGTGGGTGCCAAACTTGTCTCAATGCCAAGAATGTATTCTGTCTCTGCAGAGCTTGAAACCAAATCTGCCTTTGGAGCAGACAGCTCCAAGCTCATCCATGTTTAGATAAAGTTGTGTGAAGAAAGATCTTCTTGATTGGGTTCAAAGCACATGAATCTGCATCTGAACATCAATGAGACTATGCAGAAGTGTCAGCTTCATAGCTATAAAATCAGATGTACTAGACTGGTCTTACTGGAGATTATGATCTGGGTTGTTGTTGTTTGTTAATATAGATCAGCAAAATAACAGCGGCAGGTGCTGATGCATCAGAGCTGTGCCAGGTTTAGAAGTAACTGGAGACTCCTGTTCAA